GAGAGGTTTGGACATTACCTAATCATTCATAACTGGGAAATGATTTTCTACTAGAATGAGAGAAGAGGTGTCTATTAGAAGACCTACTTTTCAAATCAGAAATTGCTATCCTGAATTTCAGAAGAGAACATTTATCTATTTTAAAAAACATAAAATACACCAAAATTGGAAAGCATTTGGGTGTAACCCCTTCCTTCACAAATACAAGGCAATTCAGATAATAGCTTTTAGTAATGATTTCTTAGGCTTCACAGTCTCGAGAAAGTATGATCATTGTAGTAAGAACAGGTGTAGATTTCCTTTTCAACGATTAAAACAACAAAAGTCATTTATAAAAGCTGCAGTATATCATAAGGTCTTTTGCACTGCTGCACGTTGGACTGCTGACTCCAGGGTGGGAGGTTCAAATCCACCAGCAGCTCTGACCGAAAAAGATGAGGTTATCATCTTTTGTCAAGATTTACAGCCTCGGAAATCCAATGTAGGGTTGCTCTGAAATTACTTGATGGTAGTAAGTCTGACTTTTTTGTGGGAATAAGAACTCTTAAGTAGGTCTTGCACAGATTTTAAAAGTCATTATATGGTTTTTAAATTTTTACTTCGTATCCAGGAGTTACATTTCCTAGGGTGGAATTCTCTATTATCTACTAATTGTGGTGTGCATCCCAGGTCACCTTAAGGAAGAAAAGGGGGAGGAGTGGAGCTAACATGATGACACTATGGTTTGAAGTACATTTCAAGTGATCCAACAATGGTGGAACCTTCTGGTGTCACTAACTAGATTACTAGGTAGGAAATATTTTAGAACGCTAAATCTAAATGACAAATTAATAAAACTAAGAAATCAACATGGCATTTACTTCCAATGAAGTCCTCACACCTACCTTTGCTCATCGTCTGGCCTCTTGATCAAATTGAAAAGTATGTGGAGAAGCTGATCTCGCTCTTTAGGCTCAGGATGCAGACATGCTGTGCACAGTATGAGGGGGATCAACTCCTACAGAGACATGAGGGTGAGAAAAGGGAAAGTGAAAATACATTGCACAGTAGTCTTTGTTCTGCCAGAGTACTCTTGTACTTTCAGTGTGTACTTCAAGGGAAATAAAACCTAAACAATACAAAGAACCCACTGTAATTTTGCAAAGTTGAAAACATCAAATCTGAGTGGAAGGAAATGCAATAACAATGTAATAAAGTCACTTCTGATTTTATCAGCCTTTTTTTTCTACCCAGCACTTCCCAAGGGCTCAAGAGGTTTTAGACTAAACAGCACTACTTCATGGAACAAGATGATAGAAGAACCTCTCTTTTTCTCTTTCAGTTGTTGAGTCGACTGCGACTCATGGAGACCCATATATGTCGCCCAGAGTCGAACTGTGCTCAACAGGGTTTTCACTGGTGGATTTTGCAAAGGTGAATTGCCAGGCCTTTCTTCTGAGACACCCATGGAACCTTTTCGGAAGCTACTGGACACATGAACCATAGGAACTCCAGTCATTTCAATTCTAAAAGTACAGCCAAGAAAACTCTTGTAGAAGTCAATTATATTTTACAACTTAAAATGTAACAGTGAATAAAGACAATTTTTTATTCTTTTACAAAGATAAGACAAAATCTAGTAACTTTTTACCCGGAGACCTAGGCCAATGGCTAATTGAAAAGACTATTTCCATAAGTGTGGAAATGCTCTCAGCACTCCTATAGAATGTTACTAGAAATGTTTTCTGCTAAAATAAAAATGTTTGATGGATTCTCTTCTGTTATACATTCAACATACAGAGGTAAAACGAATTTGAGCTATGCGACAGTTAAAGTTTATCACTTTCAAAGAAACACTTGCAAGTTAGTTGGTTTACAATTTAAGTAAACTAAAGTAACCATCTTTACATTAAAATATAGTACAAAGATGTTAAACTTTTTAATTTTAGAATAGATATTGAAATCTAAGAAGATTCAAAATCTGAAACTGATTAGAAAAACTGTGTTTTGACAGATATCCTCTAAGTTACACGAACAGGACTTTGCAAGTGTGTTAGAGAAATCATGTTCTGATAAGAATGATAGAAAGCTCAGCCCCACTTATCTCTAACATCAATATAATTATCCGGTATAACATTCAAGGTTGAAGGCAATCAGATGTATATAACAAGAACTAAGAAAATATTTAGGAGAACTGAAAAAATAATTTTAAACTTTGATTCTGTCATTTTTAATCATCCTGCCTGGATTTCTGTTGGTTTCAGAAGAAGTCCTGGTGGCCCTGTTGAGTAAGCCTTAGACCAGTGGTTCTCAACCTGTTGGTCACAACCCCTTTGGGGGTTGAACGACCCTTTCACAGGGGTCACCTAAGACCATTGGAAAACACGTATTTCTGATGGTCTTAGGAATCGAGACAACGATCCTCTATCTGTCTCCAGGCGGGTCCGCCCACATGCAGATACGCCCACATCCAAGTACCCGGCGTGAACACTACTACCCATGCTGCACCATGCTTCAAGACAGAATTTCATTGATTTGTCATTAGAAATAAATATTTCACAGTATATAATTACATGTTGTTTTTGTGATGAATCACTATGCTTTAATTATGTTCAATTTGTAACAATGAAAATACATCCTGCATATCAGATATTTACATGACGATTCACAACAGTAGCAAACTTAGTGATGAAGTAGCAACGAAAATAATTTTATGGTTGGGGGTCACCACAACATGAGGAACTGTATTAAGGAGGAATGGTATTAGGAAGGTTGAGAACCACTGCCCTAGACTGTTAACCTCATCAGCCAAGTCCACAAGAGAAAAAGACAGGGCTGGTGGCTTCTGTAAAAAATTTACCAAAAAAAAATTTTTTTTCCCACAAAGCCTCAGAAACCTTATACGGGGTTACTATGAGTCAGAATCAACTTTGTGGCAATGGGTGGGTGTGTAGGTTTTAGATTAGTAACTTGAAAGCAGAAGAAATAAAGGGAAAATAATTTTGTCTTGGGAATGGGAGACAATCTACATTGCTAAGTAATGTTTTTATAATCAGGGATAGTACTATTGTGCTGGAGATAGAAGACAATGTATATATTGTTAAATACTGTTTTCACCAGACCTTTAATGTGATGCATGATAGATTAGGTCTGATTCTGTAAGAGAAACACATCCACTCATACAATTAGAAAGACTTTGTTGGTGTTAAATGTTCATGTTCAACAGTATCAGAATATAAAATTACTGATACCGCAGGATTATTCTTGCTTTAGTTGAGTCCAGATAGGCTGATAGCATCTAAGAGAGGATTAACACTTGATATCTTCACGGTATCTTAATTAAAGTTGTTATTCCAGGAAGCACTGAAAAAGGGAGAAATATCTCAATGTCTGAATCCCAGGAAGAGCCCTGAAACTTTATTGGCAGACATCTATTTACTTAGTTCTTTCTCTAACACAGTGGTTCTCAATTCTCAACCTGTGGATCGTGGACACCGCAAAGGTGGCCCAATTCATAACAGTAGCAAAATGACAGTTATGAAGTAGCAACAAAAATAATTTTATGGTTGGGGGTCACCCTAACATGAGGAACTGTATGAAAGGGTTGCAGCATTAGGAAGGTTGAGAACCACTGCTCTAAGGGGTTCTTCTTTCTTAGCTCCCCTCCCTGCTCTCCCATTGTCTCCATACCTGCAATACAATTCTTGAATTCCCTCTGCCCTGCCCATTCTCTTCCTAGTCTACCACACTTAAAAGATAGCTATGAAATTTAGGTATTTGTTATCATTATATACCATACATATATCGAGCAAGGGTCCTTAAGTAGTTCATGAAAAAATTCCATTATTCTTCAATTCCATTTCCCCATATATGTTTGAAGCTACTTTGTATGTATATAATCACATATCCAAACCAAACTCAAGACCATATCAAGACCATCTGACTCACAGCGACCTTGTAGGACAGAACAGAAATGCCCCTGTGAGTTTCGCATCTGTCAACCTCTATGGGATCAGAAAGCTTCCTCTTTCTCCTACATAAACGTACGCATAAGTTGTTGTTCTTAGATGCCATTGGGTTGGTTCTGATTCAGAGCAACTCTATGTACAACATAAGTTAATACCACCTGTATCTCTACCCCATATATATCCCATGTGTATACACATGTGCACACACACACACACACACACACACTTTAAAAGACAAAGTCTAACCATTAGCATCTTTCTCCCCCAAACAAGCATACTGAATTAACTATGGTGATGTTTAATTCTTCCTTGCCTTTTATGCTCTTTTTGTTCTCTATTCAAAGAGTCGAGATATTTATGCCCCATATTAATACAGATTATCTTTTAACTGGGATTTTGTGCCAAACCAGAAACATTGGTCCAGGAGCAAAAAGAAATGCGGCCTCGATTTACCTTCTTAGAACCACAAAGTCACATATTTTCTGTGATTTTCACTCTCAACTGAAATATGTAGAGAATATGGAAAAAATACTTTACATTTGTTCTCTAGGTTCCATACCTATTGCTAATGAAACTATCAGTTTTCCCTCTAAGATCAAACGAAACCAAATCCAAAGCCATTAGGTTGATTCTGACGCACAGCAACCCTACAGAGATAGGGTTTTCCAGACTGTGAGTATTTATAGGAGTAGACAGCTTCGTCTTCCTCCCATGGAGTATCTGATGGGTTTGAACCCCTGATCTTGAAGTTAGCAGCTTAATGCCTAAACTATAGCATCTCAAACTGATCCACTGCATTGTTTTCATTACTCTTTTTATATGTAAATGGAGGAAAGCCATTTGTCAGCCATTTCTTTTAACACTATAGTTCTGTAGTTTTCAGACAGCCCACACCCTGAATTCTTTAATTTAGGAAAATTATTTTTTTTCTACTTATATAAATAATGGCTAGTAACAATATAACAGAGGTGTGCAATTGGGCAAGGCTAGCAGTTAAAATTTTCTCCTGTGGGAGAAAAATGAGGCTGTCTGCTCCCAGAATGACATAAGTCTTAGAAACAAGCAAGTTCTATTCTACCCTCTAGGGTCCTTATGTATCATAAGAGACCGGATGGCAGCCATTTGTTTTGATTGCTGGCTGAAAAAAGTAACAATATATGTAAAGTCAATGCCAATCATTTTAGTCGGCATTTTAACCAAAGGAGAATTGGCAGTGGTTAATTTGACATGAAAGCTGGGTAAAAACTGGAGACTGAACCACTTGTTCAGTCATACTAGCACTCTGAAACGTATCTGATAGTGATCTTTTGACATTACAGGTCAAACACACACACCTCTCGGTGGCCATGGCACTATTCTCCACCTACCATACACCCACGGATGTTACTTATCTCCTAGAATGTAATGGTTTTCCTTGGAATCCTATGAATATGTATAACTTTCTGTTAGGCATAAAAATTAAAATAAGTCTCTGTTCAGGGAACGGGATAGGTTTGTGCCAGCGGTCTTTGCCAGCATGCTGGAAACAAAACGCTACCAGTCACACCTCTCATCCTTCATCCTGCAACACAGAAGCAATACCCGTAACTGGAAATTACACTTAAGTCCAGTATTAGACATTCAAGCTGAGTAATCTTCATTTGATTTACCCTATGCTCTATGTAAAAAAAAAAAAAAATCACTGTTACCTATGTTTCAGAGATTCTACAATTCATAAAAATATCTTTAATTCAGTTGGAAATGGTTTTGTTTAAATCAAGAGTACTTTAATGAAGACAAATGGGTGCATAAGCAAAAGTGGTGAAGAAAACTGATGGTGCCTGGCTATCAAAAGATATAGTGTTTGGGATCCTAAAGGCTTAAAGGTAAACAAGCAGCCATCTAGCTCTGAAGCAAAAGCCCCCATGGAAGAAGCACACCAGCCTGTGTGATCAAGAGGTGTCAAAGGGATCAGGTATCAGGCACCAAAGAACAAAAATCAAATCATTGTGAATGAGAGGGAGTGCAGATTGGGGACCCAAGACCCATCTGTAG